CAACAACAACAACAACAACAACAACAACAATTCTCCTCCCTCACCCGCTCCTGATGACAATGCCATGAATACTGACCAGCGAAGGTGATGACTCCCAATGCAGGTCGCTGCTGATGACCAGTCCCATGACCGATATGAAGTCCCAGCTATGGCGCCCAGGTAAAGTCTCTCTCTCCGTCGTGGACATGGCCTCCGCCGAACAGTCTCCGCTCCAGCCTACTCCTCTAATCCTCCAGCGCTGCTCTATAGCAGCTCTCCCCAAACTGGCGCTGCTCCCGCAGCGTGACGCCCAAAGGAGGCTCCAGCCCGAATGTCCTCAAAGTGGACTGGCCCAGCTATATACAGCTGGGCCTGGCTGAGCAGTCCTCAGTCTGTGATCAGGACTGTCGGATCTGATGTCTGATCGATGGTCCTGATCGCAGGCCCCAGTCCTGGTCCTACGATCCTAGCCAAAAAACGGCCTGCCTGGGTCCGTACCGGACGTCCAGGCAATCCTGCTGATGCAGCAGGGTCCTGAGGACTGGGCCAGGCACAAACAGACAATGCCTGGCCCACGTACGGACAAATCTGAATCTGGCCTACAACGGCCGAAACTGAATCACGAAGCAAAAATAATAAATGCTGGGGACCTGGCCTGGAATATGGCCGTGAGCTTCCAGGTCGCTCACCAAAAATGGGTGCGCGGCCTGGGGGCCTGGAACAACCATCGGGTCCCAAAACAGGGCCCGAGTAGCGGCCACAGCATACTACACATTGCCTTCTCGATTCTGCTCATTGCTTCGCTGTAGATCCAATGCTGGTTCATGAGGTTCTTCTTCACGGTCTCCTTGCACTTAGCCAACCGTGCAGCAAAGAACAAGCCAACCATGCAGCAAAGGACAACAACTGCATTCAGGTCCCTATGGTGCCGCAATAGCAGTTAGAAATCATAATAAACAAGTGGGCTCATTTTCGAACTCACTCCCTTGCATGTACACTAAACTCTGTGCCACACGTATCAAATTGATCCCCCTACTCTTTGTCAGGAGTATAGCTCCAATCCCTACTTGCACACCTGGCCATCATCAGATCATCAGCAAGGGCACTCTGACATCACCCTACATCCTCGCTACCCACCTCCGTAGGAGAGGATAGGAAGATGCCTCCCCAAACCTCCAAAGTAGCTGGTCTTGAAACCACGGTCGAAAGCCCGAAGCACAGACCCTTCCCCAGATGTGGCCAGCAGAACTGAATTCAGTCGGACTCTTGCAAGGCTAACACACTGGTTTAGGTGTCCTCATCGAGAAAACATCCTCACCTCCCCTCCTACACCTTCCACCAGTGCTTGTTTCCCAGGCCTTGCCTGAGGCATTGGCAAATTTGACACACACCCGCAGACAGAACTTAGCACAGCTGTGTGTCCGTAGGGCCATAACACCTTGTACCAGCACCATAGCGAAGTAGACGAGTGCCAATGCAGACAAAAGATGACCATCAGCGACTCCAGAAGTGAAATAGCTGCCCTTCCAGGCATGGCAAGATGGCTTGTTTGCCCTCTTTTCTATTAGAACACCAAGGCAATATGTTGTCACATATATCTATCGACTAAAAGACTGCACTTTGCAAAACAAATGAAGAAAAGAGCAAACAGCATGAGACACACTGAAACCATTATTTCGGCCTTTTCTGTGCCGCTCTTTCTTGTCTTCGTTGTTCGGCCTTGTTTAAACTTTAAACGGCTGCTCTTTTTTTTTTTTTTTCATGTCTCCCTCACTGTGTCTCTCAGGTGCAAGGAAGCTCGCCAAGTTGCTATAGTTCAATGTGAGCTGCCTCCACAAGCGTGTGCCATAACATGCCCAGTTGCACACTGTAAAAAGTGGCGGAGTAAAGGGGGACAGGGTAAGGAGAGACAGATAGAGGAAAGATGAACCAAAGGAAGAAAAGTAAGGAATGAGGAATAGGAGCTGGCAGCATAGGGAAGGATAAGTGAAGACTTAGAAGTTAGTCTGTCCTCGACAACAGAGGGGACACACACAGTAGGAATGAAATGGGTGGTAACACAGAAGCTCGAGCTGAGCATTCTCAGCATAAGGCAAGGATGAAAGAACATCGAGCATCACATTAGGAGGAGCATGTGATGTCCAGGTGCAGAGGGTACACACAGTCAAGCAAGGAGATCCAGCCCTCTGCCCATTCGGCTGAAGAAACCCTGGCATTGTGGCATGCTTGCAAGCACACGTTGTACCCGCAATCGCGGACGTGCGACGCACGACCGCACCGGACCCACGTGGCGCACGAGCCTGCGTGGTGCACAGACAGGTATGTCCCCCCTGCCCCCCCYCCCCCCCCGAAAGGAAAGAGCGACAGGGGTCGAATGGACGTAACCCCGACCGCCACTTAAAAATATGTCTGGGCCAAAAAAAATAAAAATGGCAGGCTGCACTCAATCACGGCCCGCAAGAACTACCACATGAGGCAAAAGGAGTACTGGAGTGGGGCTGGGCCGCTAGAGGATCCGCCTCGCTCCACTACCTACCAACTGTGCAAATGAGAATGAATCTTCCGCTAGAACATGGGAAGATACACTGCCGTATTTTTCATCTTTTGTGCATGTGGTGAGTAGTGGTGCAAGGATTTATGTCTTGCTTTGAGGGGGCTCACGCTTGACGTCCTCCACGCCACCCATTTTGTCTGCATGCCTCCTCGAGCGCCTGAAGCCACGCTGCGTGAGGAGTCCCATCACCACCGCCCGTGAGTTTCAGCAGCCCGCCAACCTCTCTGCCCCACCCTCCTCCTTCATCTTTCCTTCTCCTCCTCCTCCTCCTCCACCCGCTTCTTCATCATCCCTCCGAAATCTCTCCTCCTCCTCCATCTTTCATCCTCCTCCTCCTCCTCGTCTCTCCTCCTCCTCGTCTCTCCTCCTCCCCTTATTGAAGTCGCAGTGAAAAGCGACCACTGCGAATCGGGATTTCTTTTTTTCGTTCATTCTTCGTCCTTGCCGCCACCGCCGCCTCCACCCTCGTCTCCTGCATCCCCCCTCCACCTCTCCTCCTCGTCATCGTCATCGCCGTCCTCATCCTCCTCCCCCAAATCTCCTCCATCCCTCCTCCTTCTCCACTCCCGTGTCTCCATCCCTCCTCCTCCTCGTTGTCCTCCTTCTCCTCCTCCTCCTCCTCCTATCCTAGCCGCAGAGAAAGCAATGGCTGGAAATCGGAGGCTTCCATTTTTTTTTTTCGTTCATTCGTTCTTCGTCCTTCTCTCCTCCTCCTCCTCCTCTACCCTCGTCTCCTGCATCCCTCCTACTCCTTATCCTCCTCTTATTGCAGTCGCAGAGGAAGCAATTGCTGGAAATTGGGATTCTCCCTCCATCTTCCTGTCGTTGTGGCGTCATCTTTCTTGTCTCCTCCCTCCCTTCTCCATCTTCCTGTCGCTGTGGCGTCCATGTCTCCTCTCCTTCTCCACCCTCGTCTCTTCCATGCCGCCTCCATCTCTCCTCCCCCTCCTTGTCTCTCCTCTCCTCCATCTTTCCTCCTCTTCCTCGACTCTCTTCTTCCTCTTTTCTCCTTCATCTCTCCTCTCTTCTCCTCCTCATCCTCTTCTCCCCCATCTTCGCTCCTCTTTACAAAATCCATGACATGGTGATTTTGACATGGTGCTGATTTGCTGCCTCCTGTTCTTGTTATGTGCAGGTCACAATGTGTGCCATTGCAATGATATTAGGAGCATCTTATTCCATTTGGAGCCGGCAGAGCTCAATTTTGTCAACTCTTATGTGTTTTCTGGGCACGCACAGTCTTTGAGTGGCCCCAGTGACAGGGCCCCCCGACCTAGAACCCAGGGGGAGGGAAAATAAAAATAAAAACACCCTGCACGGCTCTGCACTGTGTGGGCAACCAACTGCGCGCGTCCCGCACCACTGCGCACCGCACCACATTGGCAGGTTCCACACGCTGTACCTGGCAGTGGCAAGACACCGTTTCAAAAAAAGAAAAAAGAAAACAAAGAAAGAGGAGCCCCTTCGAATTGCGCTCGATATCCATCTTTTCCTCGTCTATCATTGTCTTTGACTAATCAACCTCCCTAGGGTCAGGTCTAAACGACCTGACTTTCCGGTCCAGCCTTTTCAGCGCGAGCTCGACATGTTACTCTTGAAAACTACCCAATTCTTTATGGAGTTCCTGATGAAAGGACAATGTCTAAACCACCACAACCTCCTAAAAACTCTGCCTAATTTCTGCAGACAGGCAACAAAACCTGTGTTTGTCAGATCGTAAATCCGAGGGGCCTCCTGGAAACCAGAGCGGTCGTGAAAGGTCGTGTTGGTTTGACACTCTCTAGATCTGGTCCAACACCTAGCGAAGGGTTTTCTTTCCTTTCACTTTCCCAAGAAGCAGCATGACACTGCAACTGACCTTTCCCTTCAACAGACTGAAGAGTCCATCCCCGAGGCATGTTACATGCCGCTGCATCCGTTACTCATTGTAGAACCAAGCAGCCGGTGGGGAAAGAAGGCAATGGCCCATTCTTCTCCTCAAAAAGGAACGTTCATATGCTCACAACTTGTCATGCCATTCCGAATAAATTTGACAAATCCAGTGAACTGTCAAATTGTGTTGATCGAATTTGGCAAGCAACAAGGGCCAGTGGAGCCATAGGAGAACACCTAGATCATTACCGTCCTCACCCGAACAGAACACCCCGTCATTATAGCTGCATCTGGACTGAAAGTTGTGCCAACTACATCTATAACGACCAGGCGTCCTACTCGGGTGAAGACGGTAGGTGATGCTCCACCCCACAATGCTGAGGAAACAGCCAAAGATGGGAAGAGGCGGCGGTGGCAGCAGCAATGTAGGACCTGAACCTCTAGCGTAGTAGTGGCCAAACACTAGCAGCAGCAAAAGCAGCAGCAGTAGCAAAAGGAGAACGACAAGGAGGAGGAAACAGCATGCATGACGGTAAGCGACCGTGCATCTCGACGTCGAGGAAAAGTCAACCAGGAGGAGGAGGGGACAACGTACCTGAAGCGAGATACGGTGTGCTTCCAACCACTTGCTGACCACCACGTGGGCCTCCACTTGAGGAAGGCCTTACTTTGGAAGTAGTCATGATTCCATGTTTTGTTCCCAGTGTTCCAATAAGATTGCACCATTGGCTGTCATGCATTAGAGACTGTTTGACAGCATGGAGACCCTTGAAGACTCGCAGAAGCCGGGGATCGAATCGTGATGTGTCCTGCAAGAACAATACCACATGGCAGACCTGTGCAGAGAAAAACAACACCAGTCGAACGCCCCTCAATTTGCATCCCTCCCCCCCCCCCCCCCCCCCCCCCCCCCCCCCCCCCCCCCCCCCCCCCCCTCCTTCCGACAACAACAACAAAAAAACGCACACACACAACAACCTCCTGATGAGTCAACAAAGGTCCAAATGCTTTTTTCTATGGAGTTGAGCATAGCGAAGATAACAACACACACAACACAACAAGCACTTGCATTCTCAATAGCGGACTCAACGGGTTCCATGTCCGTTTGGCATGGCTGTGCAAGGATCATCAAGCAAGACCTTCCACGCCCCGTTTCCCTTGTTCTAGCCCTGGCAATTCCTCACATTGTTTTCTGCCTGCGGCTGCTAGAATGATGTCTTTTTTCCAACTGGCACTTAATTCGTGATGATACAAGTCACTGTGCTCCATTCTGAACTACTTAATTCGTGATGATACAAATTGAGGGGGATGATTTTTGGCAGGGAGGTTTGGCACAAACCGCATCCGACCCGTCCTTTTTTCTATGGAGCTGTACGCACTCACTGCTTATGAAGGTGGTCAGCTCCTCGTACCAATTTCCTTCTCACTAAAAGGAGTGACAGTGTGCTTTCCTTTCTGGATGGCATACAGAACCCAGCTGCTGAAAACTAAATTGGGCACGTCAAACACGACACAGGCCCAGCATTTCTTATGATTTTTCACCCCATCCAATTCATGCCTCCGCTTTGTTCATCTCTGTTTCCCTCACTATGCACATGTGGGTGTCTGCCTCTGCCTCTGCCTCTCTCTCTCTCTCTCTCTCTCTCT